GGCCGAGGGGGCTCCCGCGCCGCGGCCCGCGCTCCTACCCGCGGCGGCGGCGGCGCTCGGCGGTGCCCGGCGTCCCTTCCTCTCGCTCTGCCTCCGAGGTGTCTCCCGGCGAACTTGTGATCAGATTTGGTCCTAATCGGAGCCCGGGCGCGGGATTTTTATAGCTTAGACCCTCTCCTGGAATCACGCAGAACTTGCCTAATAAGCTGACGCTCTCCTGACAGCGCCGCTTGCGTGCCCCGAGCCACTGCTGAATAAATCATGGGGGCCCGTCGGAGCGCCGATGGGCCGAGTTTCGCTATCGCAACCCCAAATCGCACGTCCAATTATATCAACAGATATTTATCGCCTCTGCGGTGACGTCAGCAGGGCCGGGGGCTGGGGAGCAAGGTGCCCCCCCTTCTCCCCCCCCCTTTCCCCCCCGCACACCCCATTGACAAAAATACTTGAATGAGATTTCCTAAGATTTCCTAGCGGGCGCGTACGAGGAGAGGTCACCCCGGGGGAACTTCCCACGCGGGCGGAGAGCAGCGCGGCCGCGGGCCGGGACGCAGCGTGGGAACCGACGGGGCGGCGGGGGCCGCAGTGCGGGGCCGGCGGCCCGGCCGGGGGGCTCCGCCGCCCGCAGCAGCGCCGGGATTGCCGCCTCCTCGGAGGGGCCGCCCCGACGGGCAGGAGGCGGCGGGCGGCGGAGGCGGCGGCTCCAGGACGTCCCTGCCCGCTCCGGGACGCGGCGGCTCCAGGACGTTCCCGCCCGCTGCGGGACGCGGCGGCCCCGGGACGTGGCCGCTCCGGTTCGTGGTCGCTCCGGGACGTTCCTGCCCGCTCCACCGGTGCCTCCCGCTGCCCTCTGTCCCTCCCTCCCGTCCCGGCTGCCACGTCTCTGGCCAGTGCCCGTCGCCACTTCCTCCTTGTCAGTCACTCCTGCCCTTATTTATCCCCACTTTGCCTCCGACCAGCTGTTTTGCTCCGGTATTTTTGCCCTCATGTGTTTCTCTTTCTCTCCCCCCCCCTTATCCCCCCACTCCCAACTAAGGTCTCCGAACCAGCAGGTGCCTGCAAAACTGAGTTTTCTTGGAAGTGCTCTCTTCCCCTTGCGCCTGAAGGCTCCGGACCGTGTTCCATCTCCAGCTGTGTTGCTCATCCTGGGGTCTACTTGTCCAGGAGGTAACACTGCTTATGGAAATAATTCAGGTGCCCAACAATGACACAAGGAATATTCTTCTGTTTTAGCATCCCGTCAGTTTTGTCACAGCAATTTTCCTGCTTGTCCACTGCCTCAGTTCCCACCTTCATCATTTCCTTCCCTTTAAAATTRCACTGAAAACCTACTGCCTGTATCCAGCCTAGACGATGGGTGCTTGGGGTGGTGTATGATCTGACTCGGATCACAGTGAGGAAGAAACCACAGAAGGTGGTAGTGCTAAAACAGGCATGAATCTCTAATGAAATAATGATGTTCGGACCAATTAGTGCAGGGGGCTGGCCGCAGTCTGTGCTGAGCCTCTCCTGAGAGGTGCTATTCACTGTAACTTCTGGTCTTCCAAAGCCTGACATCCTAGGCGAGGTGCCTTAGAGCCGCATCTCCTAACCGAGCAGAAAAACAAGCCCTAATAGCRGAGCTTCGCCAACACTCGTGAGCCAAAGTGCATACGACAACAAAACCAGAGCAGACTATGTCGTGTCCTACGGTGTCGTAGTCACCGCTGCTTGTGTGCTCTAAAAGCATGCCGGTGCAGCCTTCCCCAGAACAACAAGAGGTTCAAACAAGCAGGGGCTCGCTTCAATGAATTGGTGGAAAATGTAAGAGGCACTTCTTAAGCTGAGCTGCTCCAGATGCGCTGTGAGGTGGTTTTTATCGCAATGTCTCCATTTTTAGGCAGAGTGTGCTTTTTAGAGACCGTGAAACCTCTTAAAATACTGTGATCATAAACATAAAGAAGGAAACACTCTGATCCAAATATGTTTTTTTAGGATCGTGGGTGAGATGAATAAGATAAAAAGCTGCATCTCTCCAAAAGACTGATGCCAGTGAGAATTTGGCTCAGATTATTTTATGTTTGTCATCATTTAAAATATTATTTAGGTCCCTTTAGGCAGACAGTTTTGTCCCTTGAAGAACTGCAGTCAGAGCAAAGTCATCCCAGGAGTCCATCCTAGGACAGTTCCTGCAGTTTTCACAGAGCTGTGTAACCTGCCTTCGTACCTTTTTCATGACCCTGGCTCTGAACAGAGTCTATATTTTCTTTCATATACTTGTTTTTAATCCAACAGAGTCCTATTAACCCATGTTTTTCCCACAGGTTGAGGTGTTAGAGGATTTTCAACAGCTTAAATAGAGGGAAGACTGAAAGATATTTGGGTGCTTTGATAATGAGAATATAAACATCACTGAGACCTGAACTACAAAGTACTTGGGCTCAATACTTGAAACACAGAACTATCTTCCCAAGAATATAGATCCTTTCTCCAAAGAGTAACCATCTTCTAGGTGAAATCTCAGCAGTTGGTCCTCAAGAAAATTACACCTGAAGAAAGACTAGATTGATGCTGAAGGCGAGAAGAGGGGAAACAAAGCAGACAGTCGGAAAATCTGGATGTGAGTTTTGAAGTTTGAGGAATAATTTGAGTTCAGCATATCACAGCATAAAAAGAGTATTCACGTTTGGCTTATTCTGCAAGCATTAGGGCAAGCCTAATTTTTGTATTGAATGCAAAATAGCATTTTAAAGATTTAAAAATCATCTCATGCATCCCTCTTCTCCATGCTAACTTGGGTTGGGTGGCAGCTGATCTCCAGCTTTAGTGTTCTCAGAYTTAGGTACCTACTGAAAGGCAACTAGATCTGCTCTGTCAGAGCTAATGGAAAGAAAGACCATGCCCATGGCATGATGCATCCTGATGCAAACTAATATCTTAAGGCTTCTGGAGAAGTTCACTTTGTTCCCTTGTCTATAAAGGGAGTGCAGACAACTACCTTAGCCTAGTCACCAAATTTTTAAGTGGCTAATGTTAGGCCAAAAGAATGTCCATTGCATTGACTGACCATAGCAGACAGATCACACAATTCTAAAAATAACTATATAGAAGTGATGAGTGACTTAAAGTGAGTTAAACTAGGGGTATGGCTCCTACCTCAGGTATTTTTGAAGATGTCCAACTTCAGACATGGAAGGGCTTGCACTAGAGGTAGATCAGCTTCCCATCATGGTGTAGTGTTTCAATGCAATGCCAGCTTCTGTCAGAAGGTAGAAAGGCTTTATGGTACTGTTGGGTTCAGCAAACTTAGTTCTATGTCATTTCACACAATCACTTATTATCACCTTTGTTACTCAGTCCATGCAATCAGTTCTYAAACATATGACTTTATATTCTGCAACTATTTCAGACGAACTCTGTACAACCTGCCCCCTCTGAARTACCTGTATTTATATAGTGACATGTGTATATATTACATTTTCATTCAATTATTTAGTRATCTTGGTACTAAGAAATCTAAATCCTTTGGTCACAAATTGCATGCATTCTATGGCAACCTAGAGAAAAAAGAAGAAAATTTCAAGATATTATGTCCGATAGTGATGTCATTTTAAGAACCAAATACATTTGCTTATTCTTCATCAGCAAAAATGAATTTGCTAGACTGATCATAGAGAACATGAATTAAAGTAAGCCTAAAAAATCAATAAAAATATATCAGTTAAATACAGAAGAATGTGTTCTAGGTTAGAATGAAGAAAAAACTGATAAAGATCTCAATTGAATTGAGATCTTCAATTTCTTCTGAACCTATCTGTCTTCAAAATTCTCATGTCTCTCAATGAGTTTTAATTTCTCTTTCAAACAAATTTTTAAATGATTTCTCTTCAGAAAAGGACCTATTTTGCTCATGTCACCAGGTTTTTCTGCTGTGTCTCACCACTGTAACAGAGCTCCACTAATGCCCTTATTAAGATGCCTTTCATATAGTCCTGTGAGCAAGGAAAGCGCCTTAATTTTCCAAATTTAATTTCCAAAGGGGAACAAAAGCATGAGAGGACAAAGTGATTCACCCCACATCCCTCAAGGTTTTATGTATCAGGCAGGAGTGACTCTTGTATTTTCTGAGCCCCAGTTCACAATCTCAACTGAAAGGCTATTTTCATTCACAGGATAATATTGACATTGTTTTCCTCCTAGAACACTGACCACAAGACCCCGTTTTATGGGCTCAAAGTCTCGACAGAAGGAAAAATTCCTCGGAAATCCCCACTCGGTTCCACGGTGTCTGCGCGGGAGGCCGTGCTGCTGCAGCTCGTGCCCGCGCAGCTTTGCAGGGATCATTTCGCTCCTGCAGCCTGACCTCCTGCTGAAGAGAGGCCAGTAAACACCACTCAGGAATTTCAAGCACATACCCAAGCAAGAGCATACCCGACGCTTAAAGCTTCACGCACCCAGCGAGGGGGAAGGATGATTTATTCACCCAAATTCTTGCAATGCAAACGAAGCTGGACGGGGACCCTCCTGAATGTCACCAAAAAAGCACCGGGGCCTCACAGCCTCGCTCACTAATTCTCATCAGCAGAAAGAAGTTGTAAAATTATGCCGGGGAAGGTCTGCGTGCTGGAAGGAGGGCGCCTCTCTCCTTCCTGGCAGCCTCAGCGAGGGAGGCAACAGCTGACCTTTATATTTACCTC